TGAGTTTCACAAGGATGAAAATATTTATTTTAAAATAGCATGGAGTTGAAAGGCTGTATCTTATGACTTTGTTTTCCATTCTTGTAACAAGTGCTGGCCAGTTCCTTCTGCTCAGTAGCTAATCCTGTCTTTGCCTGAATTTACCATCAGCAGCTTAGTTTGTGTCTGTGTGCATCGGCGGATATATTCCATTTGCTCTCAAAACCGATGTAAAATAGATCTAGCCTTTGCCTTGCTTGGCATCAGAATTTAGTAAGCAGCTTCTGTGACACAATTCTGCTGAAAAGACTCACTAAGCAAAACCATAATGTACATCAAGATGCCTTACAATATGAATGTTTCTCTCCAGAAATTTGCTTGTAATGGTACTGTGATTGAACATCCTGAATACGGTGAAGTTATCCAGCTTCAAGGTGACCAGAGGAAGAACATTTGCCAATTCCTCTTGGAGGTGAGGGACTGCAGATAAATATCTAAACCTCTCTGGAAGCAATAGAGTGACAGGTGGCACTGACGTTAATTAACCACCTAAGATGTCCACTATAGTTCCTTTGTATTTTCAGCCAAAAAGTAAAATGACACTTGCAGAATGAGAGTAAAACTCTGGTGAGAATCAAAGCACTGTAGAATGCATTTACTCTGCTACAACATACCACTTGTTCTCTGGCAGTGCAACTTGAGTTCTTAATTTGTGAAATTAAGTGTTTGATGCCAAACTGTAATTTTGAGACTGAAAACACTACAGAGGAAAGAGTCTTTCACCACTGGCTTACTGATGCAAATCGTGATGTAGAGATGTTACACTGTCAAAGAGTAAGTGCTAGGGCTACGCAAGAAGTCAGATGCCTGATAAGATTTTTTTTTTTTTTTTTGGTGTAGTCAATTCTGCTTGGCCCGGAAACATTTTGGAAACTAGAAAACTGCTTTATTGAGTATATGCTGTATTGTAGTTTCTTTAATTAAAGTGTTAGATTGTGGTAATTTGATGTCACTGTTAATATCCTAAGAGTGTAAGCTTTACTGAAATGTTGCTTTTCTCCTTTAGATTGGCATTGTCAAGGAAGAACAACTGAAAGTTCATGGTTTCTAAAATACCTGTGCTCTCATGAAGAACCCTGCAGTATTTGATCTTACCTAGCCTGACTCTTCTGTGAAAAATGAATCTTTGCAGTGAATGGACTTCCCTGTTACCTGAACATTTAAAATTTGATTCAGATTTGCATGACTGCGTGAAACGTGTGGTGTGTAGACTAGAAACACATAAGAAAACTTCAGTAAGGTGGTAATGAAGACACTTGTGAACTTTAACACATTTCCAATGGAAATGTTTTAGCAATGATTGTTCAGTTTACTGTTCTCCACCTGACTTGAATGTGTGGGTTGTATCAAAATAGTGTGTGTTGCTGCTTAGAAATAAAAGTTTATTCGTATATTTTCTGGGATATCTGAAATGCTTTAGCTTAAGTTTTAAACTAGCACAGCAGCCTTACTGAAGAATGGCTAAAATGTTTTGTGGCATGTGTAGCTCACTGCTCATTGAATAAATTGGAAAATCTACATGATGAAGTATTAGCTAATTAATCAGTAGACTAGCTTGATGTGATCTTATCCTGTAGCTGTAAGACTAGAGCTTTAAAGTCTTTTGTGTAGGTGTATCTTAGTAGCAGCACGGTAAGACAAAAATTGTTTGCTGAGTAAGTAACTGGATCTTCTCTAAAATTTACTGCAGGGACTATGAAATGTTAGTGTTAAGCATAGTAGGACTAAAATAAGCTAAACTCCTTAAGGCCGCTATTACTGAGGACATGTTAAACATCTAGGTCATACATAGTACTCCCAAAACATTTGAAGGAGGTGCATGGGATTTTGTATCTGTTCTGTCACTGAGTGAAGGGGAAGGACATTGAGTCGGCTTCTGCCATGACTGTGCATTTAATGTCGGCAAGCAGAGTGCTTTAATTAGCTGGTAGCGTTAGCTGCGGAAGTAAGGAAGGGAACAGGCTCTATACTAACTTTTTTTTTTCTTGGTGTGAAAAGTTTTGCTGTCACTAACGGTTAATATGGAGGGTTTTGTAATGGGGTTTGGGTTACTACAGAGAGCTGGTTTAGTCTACTTCTCTAGCAGGCAATTCATTCACTGTCATCTGAAGTTGTTATAGCTTTGTTCCACCATGCTTTTCATCTAGTTTTAGTTAGCTGTAGGCATTTGGTATTTTGCTTTTAAGACATGTCTCTTTACAGAATGAAATTACTTAATTTGGTGAAACATTCAGTTCTTACCTTCCTTATGAGATAGAGAGGGAAATTTTCTCTGAAACAAAAACAGGCTGAGCTGATAAACCATAAGAATAGTGGGAGAAGTTAAAAAAAACTTAATGTAATATCATGTATTCTCTGGAAAGGAAGAAAGACATTTCTTTACTGCTAAGACTTATTAATAACTTAAACAGAAAAAAACCTGGTAACTACCTATGTAAACATCAAGAATAGGCAAAATATGTTACTTAATATCACCTATGCTTATACTTTGTTTCCTGTTCAGACTTGCCTTTCTAAACAGAAATTCTCAATTTTAACTCACTTGAACCTTTTTTTTTTTTTTTTAAGATTTCTGAATTCAGACTTGAACCTTTATGGAACGAACAACAATTAGGGGAGCATTATAGAGCATTCATATGACAATTTCTTTCTCTGTCTGGTCTAGACAATTCCACCTGTACGAATCCAGTGTCCAGTCTCAATCTCCACAAATTCTGCCTGGTGTTATGGATCTTAAGTGTTCCAGAAAAAGGATGTTCCAGAAGATTGAGTACTGTTAAGGTATAATGTGTTCAGGAAGAGGAAGAGGAGGAGGAGAAGGAGGGAAAGCCTGCTGCAAAACATGAAATACCAGCATGCAGAATGAAAATCCACAGAATAAGTCTTAGGCGAGTCTTGCACATTAGCAGAATAAAATCATTGTACTGCAAATTTACCTAGTCCTGATTCTAGATGCTAAAGTAATTACTCCTTTGGGGGTACATAGAACTTGGTGATTTTCATTTTATCAAATGCCAGAAAAACTGATATTCTCATTTAAAGCTTGTTCTCCTGCCCAAGAGGAAAAACAAGCAATATCTTCTCCTATTTCACTGGTATTACATGAGTACTTCTAGTGGGTTTTTTGAATTGGAGATTAACATATGATTAGCAAGTCTCATGTGTTACTGAGTCAGTCTTCGTTTCAGATAGAATTCCATTAACTTTTACTACCTAAGCTTGAGTCATTTCTCCATAGTTGTTCTGCTTGGAATAAATAGGAAAAACCTTTGTTTTCTTCCTCCTTATTGAAAAGTCCTTTCTGATAGGAGGAACCTTGCAGTTGATAGGTGGCTTGGGTTTTATGCTCTAGTGGAGCTGCTTGTGTTTTGACCTTTGAAGGGCAAAAATAAAAGGAGAGGAATTAAGAAGTAACACGTGAAGTTTAATAGATGAGTTTTGTTGTGGCAACAAACAATTTAATCTTTGTAGAAGGAAAGCAGAAATTTTTGTCCTTGAAGTGTTTTAAACTAGAACAGTGTCTTGGTAAGATTGTGATTGGCCTGGAAAGGCTGCAAACAATTTCATATTTTATCATCTTATGCTGGAACTTCTTTGTCAAAGCTTAGCCTGTTTGGAGTATCATCCATGTTTCAAGAATGTTGAAAAACATGAAAGACTTTGGGAAAGGACTGTTTAAATTACTGCCAGGAAAACCTGGTTTTACAGTGAAGGCAGGCTCCAGTCTTTCCATCTATTCAAAAATAAGTTAAAAAGTGGTAAAGGATACCACTGCCCATTATTGTTGAGGCAGTAAAAGGGAGCTAATAATAGTAAACACTTTTAAAACCCACTAGTAGGACTTGAGACTGGGCAAACTTGAGCAGTGCCTCAAACGGTGAAGTCTGTCTTTCAAATCTCCAAATCAGGATTGCCTTCTTAGTGACATCTGGGCTTAACCACAAGCTGCAACTGGATGTAGGAACTGCTGTTGATAGTTGTATCAGGCTGTTGTAGCTGATTATTTTAGCTGATACACTGGAATAAGGTGTTGCATAAATAAATTCATTGAATTGCCTGTTCGGAGCCTACATCTACTTAATGCAGCTATGAACAGTGAAACCATCGCTTCCCAAATGGTGGTAGCAGTCCTTATTTCTAGAAGATGAGATTTAGTAATTGTAAGTCTGTAAGCTGCCTGCTTGCTCTTGTGTGAATTATCAGACCCTTCACCTTCACTTGTGGTCCACTAAATCTGACCATGTGTTTGAGATGAGCATGAAGAGCACAACTATGGGCAGACGAGCAATAATTTTCTCAAGTGAAAGAACCTTTGAAAAGAATAGTGCCTAGATTGTATGTACATACTATTTATAGCTTTAAGCAAAGCCGCTGTACCATACTTCCTGCACTACATTCTTGCATAGCCTAAATGAAAAGCATTTTGTTCTGGAGAACTTATTTGGAGAGGGAGGAGGGAATCCCACAAAAAAAAACCCCACCTTAGTAAATAAGTTTATATCTTAAGCCTGTTTTTATTAACTTAGATTCACCTGAACTGCAAGACCTCTATAACATTGTTATTTCTGTATCTTTAAAAAGACTTCCTTTAGAGCTTGGCATTTAAGGTTCTAAATATATCTAAAGCATTATAAAAGTTAAAACTGTGAAGAGTTGTTGAAGCTTAAGTTTCAAATATTTGAAAAAATAATTAAGCAGAGCTCTGCATTTTGTGCTATTCTGCCATCCTGCTTACAGCTGATATGCACTTGCCCTAAAGATGCATATGGACAGATGTACCTTGAGTTGCAGTCAGCAATTACCTTTTCTTTAATCCTTCTGGCAGGCTCTAGTGTACAGGATCCGTGTGCTACACCCTTGTTTAAAGTGGCTTAGTAGTTCTTACTATGTGAAAATATGTACAAGACTGGTATGTGGCCAGTTAAAGAATGCGGAATTACTTTGGGACACAGTAGGGGTTACTCTCTCTTGGTGTGTCCAGTGTTGATTAGTGTCACTGAGTGTTCCTCTAATTAGTGTGCTACTGCCACTAGGGAAATGGAATTGGTCTTAGAGGGTCACGCATATTTAAGTATTAAGAATCTGCCTTCCTCCTAAGACTCCATGCATAGTCCTCAGTTAGGGACGTGTCCCCTGTGCGTGGCAACATGAAGGTTACTTTCCAGTTGCAAGATCAAAAGCTCTTGAGATGAATAAGGGAAAAATGACATAGTTTTATGTTTGCTGTACAGATGTTTTGTGCTTACTGTTTCCACTTTACATTAAAAAAAAAAAAAATCTCAAAAGAGGATTTGTACTTGGCATGCCTTTTTAATGTTCGCTACATGCCTGTGATTGGTCTCTTTACAAACAAGTCTTAACCTGTATTGGAGTATTGCTAGAGAGTTGAGACAACAGAGTCTTTTGAAATAAAATGTATCAATGTTATTTTATGTATGCTTTTCTAAAACAAACGGACTTTTATGCTATTACTAAGGAGGATTAATGGTTTTTTTGGTGGAAGATAGAAGTTGTGTAATTTAATAGTATGTGATCCTCTTGTGATCAGCTTCGATTTCTTCAAGAAAAGTTATATTTCCTCTTAAATTTCTGCCTTGATCTGTACTAATGTTGTGGCTTAACCCTGGCTGGCAATTAAACCCCATGCAGCTTCTTGCTTACTCACCCCAGCGGGTTGGGGGGTGAATCCGGAG